TGATTTGTGGCTTAGGAACTACCAAGAGAAACCAGCACACAGCTGCTCAGAAGGGCCCCTGCTCAGAAGCAGACAACGTGCTTCTAGACGGTGTGTGTTGTGCACTCCAGCACGTCCTTTGGAGGCGCTGGCAGTCAGGGACACCCTGCTTTGGCACTTTGCTCACCTGTGCCCATCTGGAGGGCCAGTTTCTGAAGCTAGGTAGTACCCTGACATCCTTGTCCACACTCAGTTTTCAAAAAGCAGGAGCAGTGATTTCTGGGCAGCCTTTGGGAGTGCTCCCTGCACCCCGAGCCCTGGGAGCCAGCCCTAATTTTAGCTGCATCGGTATTATGATAACAGATGTTTTGTGCTGACTTTTTCTGCGTGCTTCAGATTGTAGGACCTTGCTCTGAAACAGCCTCCAGGGGATATTTCCTCAGCCTTGCTGCACACTGGCAGCAGCTGCTGCAGACAAGATGCTCCCTCAGTAAACACTCCTTTCTGGGACATGGCAAGCTCTCAGTGATCAATCACTTCGCCTCCATTTACCTTTTCTGGGTGAGTGCTCCATTAATATTCAACATTACCAAAAAAAACTAAAATCCACAAGGGCCCTGAGGTGCCTCACCCCTCTCCCTCCCAAACATTTAAAGTGGAGTTTGAATTTTAACTCTGGAATTCCTTTCTCACTGCCAGAGAAGTCACTTTTCTGTTTCACAGCGGCCACCTGCCCCACATCTGCCCGAAGTATCCCGGTTTGGTTACGGCGGGGAGCATGGAGCAGCCTCCCCTGTGCCGAGAGCTGTTTGTCTCCTTTTTCGGAAGAGCTGGAACGAGCTCCGTGCTGCGCAGCACACGCTGCAGGGCGCTGCGAAGGCAAGGCAGGGCTCATCCGTCCCACATTCCTTGCTAATTTTAAACAGCTCCCTTGAGCGGCTCAGAGCGAAGGCCCAGAGAAGCACGGTCTTGATTTATTAGCCTTTCCCTTCTGAAAACTTTTGTTCAAGTGTCTTGGGACACAAGTAAAACCAGAAGGGGATTTTCAGCCTGGAGCCATGGAGACATTTATCTGCATCACAATATATGGCAAGGTTATTTTTTGCAGCATCAGCAGTTTTTCTCCCAAAGGCATCCCAGCTCTGCCCTGCTAGGTGAGGCGGCATCAGTGGCAGTGCCGAGCGGGGAAGCCTTAACACCACGACCCAGCCCATGCCCAGCCACAGCGGGAACGTGCCTCGGAGGCACAGGAGCCACCCCATCCAGCAGTGCTGACACAGGATTTCCACGTGCACCCTTCCCAGGCCATCCAGTGGCACAGCACCCATGCCCATGCCGAGGACACGCTTGCCCAGGGTACCTGGCAGCCACCCCTGCTCCTGCCCGGAGGAGCTCGGGCACTGCACAGCTCAGCTCCTGGGACAGCCAGGCACCTCGGGACACAGCAATGGGAAGGTGGCAACGTGTGGGGTCAGGAGAAGGGGAAGCAGAAAGACCTAAACACAGCCCCAGAGGTAGAACAGACAGGTGGCTTGGGCTGTAGGCCCGCAGGGAGACATGCAAGCCCTCAGGCATGCCGACAAATTGCAGAGGGACAGTCTGCTCCCTCCAGCAGGAAGAACAGAGCATGGCCTGGCACGAGGAGTTCCTCAGACTCTAGGGAAGCGGCTGGGTGGTGAGTTGAGAGAAGTGCCAGAACTGCCTGCACAGCGCCTGGAAGCATTGCTAGGGCTTTCCAAGAACATGCAGGGCAGGCCAGGGAGAGCTGATCCTGCCCTGGGGCAGAAGAAGGAGCTGGACGACCTCCTGCCTGCCTCCAGGCACATTTCCTACCACACAGCGGCTTCCTAACCACACAGCAGCAGAGCTGCCACGCCGTGGTTATACGAACACCGGCTAGGACGTGGCTCCTGGGGAGCAAAAAGCTCTGCCGTCTTGCTGACCACCTCAGCCCCTCCTAGTACCTCAGTGCACACATAAAGAGTTTAGGTAAATCAGCATGAAACTCACAAAGGACTGCATTTATGTAGAAAACAGCTAAAAGATAAACATTTCACATTTTCTTTCAACTATTTTCTGGCCTTTTCCACATTCACATTTTGTGTGCATATAGATTTTACATCTATATCTAAAATAATACAATGTTCTTTAAATGGAGATTAAAGCTCTGGTTACACTTTCTCTTGTCTTGTAGTTGTTTTTAATACCAACGCAAAGATGGTCAGTGGTTGCTGCTCAGATACCCTGCCTTTTAACAAATACCACGGGGACCACATCCAAGGATCCTTGGCACTCCGTTTCAGTGAAGGCACAAGCTCAATGCCAAATACAGAGCAATAACCATGAAAAAAACCTGAACCTAAGACTATAGTCTGGGAATGAAACAACTCTTGCCTCATTACACTTACAGAACTAATGATTTCTCTCAGGTGTTTTTGTGCTTAAAGCTGAAGAATTAATCAATGCTTTACAGTTTAAGGTTTGTTGGTTTTGTTTTGTTTTTAGATTTTCCCATCCAGCTGCCAAATACTTTCTGGCTGAGCATTCAAAATAAATTAATTCCGCTATGATCAACTAATTTAAATAAATAGTGGTTGAACATCTGATGCATGATCTGGTGAGGAAAGTGAGGCTGGGAAACCTCCAGCCACCTCCCTTCCCTGCTGCTGGGCTGAGGCACGCAGCCCTGCCCAGAGCTCAGCGCCCAGGCAGCCAGCAGCAAGGAGAGCAGACCAGAGCCAACCAAACAGTGCCATGAAAAAGCCTAAAAACGGCATTGTTACAGCAGCAACTTCTTCCATTTCCTGCTGGAAAGTGACTTATTTCTGCCAGCCCTCTGCAGTGCGCTCAGTCCACGGACATGCTGTGAGAGGCTGGTACCGCAGCGGTCCCGTCTGAGGTCCCTGGAGAGGGCAGGGTCCTGCCGCTTGTTTCCAGGGCTGGCGCTGGGAGCGGGTGCTTCTCTTGGCTTACCTGGGTTTCTTTCCTAGTTCATGTCATAACCCCCTGGTTTGCATTACTGTAGGCAACAAATGATGCATGGAAGTTGCAGAATAGAAATGAATAGAAAATCTTCATCCTCACTATTATTGGCAGCCTTTCTGCTGGGTAGCTGAGAGCTTGGATCTCAAGATACACGATGTAGAGTTTGAGCAGGAGTCTATCAAATACCACACCAAGGACAGACTCTCAAAATGACACAAGTAAACCTGTAGACTCTTAGGACACACGCATAAAGGTAATGTTTTGGCCTTGTTGCTGTCTCTTGCCCTTCCCTCTTTTTGCCTGCCAAACCTGAGAGCTGCTTTCTCCTCTGACATTCTCCATACCCCTCACAAAGCCCATCAGGGCTCACACGCCATCAGGATGCTGAATCCTGAGTCCCACTGGCATACAGCTCTGGCCCCAACATCTGTTGGTTTCAGGATTTAAGGACTACCCTACTTTCTCCCACTCTGCTGTGTACTCAGAGACATCGGAGACGCATCCTGGGGCTGCCAAACCCATAGCAAAGCAGTCCCAGCACTGGGCTGTGTGCTCAGAGCACGCCGCCCCACTTGCCCCTGATGGGCACTCTTGTGCCATTTATGCAGCTGTCAGCTTCTCCCCTCCCTGATGCGGAACATGCATTTCTATTTCCTCAGGTAACGTAGATCTGTCACCTTCCCTGATGCTCTTCTATGTACTGCCCACCTGCTCAACTTTTTTTTTCCTGTGCAGCTTGTTCCTGCTTAAGTAACATTATTTTTAGACTTTTGTTTTCCACCAGGTATTTTACACCCTCTTCTTACAGGCACTAATCTCACTGACGGCTAACTGCTTGCCCTTTCAGTCCCCTCAAATAGCCATTTTGATCAATATTTCAATGCTTTCCATGTTTCTGTTGAGCTATTTCTTTGTCTCTTGAAATGGACTCTAATTGCCTCCAGCTCAGTGCCTTCACTTGCATTTAGAGTTGGAAAACAGCAGAATAAAGCTCAATAAAGCTCTTTCTCGTGTTTCAGTGGTTATTTCACTATAGGAAGGTAAAATTAGGTGGTTTTTTGATTGTTTTGTTTTTGTTTCTCCAATTTTTACCAGGGCTTCTGTAAGAGAATAGCTTTATTACATCTCCATTTTCCCATTATTTCTGTTAGACTATCAGATTGTGGTTAATATCCAACTTCACTGAATTTATGGGTGTTGTGGACTCCCGAGTAGTTCCCTATATTGGAAACAAGACCCTGCTATCATTCAATAACTTAATTCTTAAAGTACACTAGAATCTAGTTCAAGTTTGTGCATTTCCCTGCCACACTTTAAAGCTTTAAATAAAACTAAAATTAATGGAAGATATTGGGAGAGGTGTTTTTCTAATTTTTCTTATGTATTTATTTTGTGAGGAAATCTGCTTACCTGACAGAAAGGCAGACTTACAACTTCACTATGTGTTTACTAGAAACCAGACTAACCCAGAGCAGTCTGTAAATAGGAGTTATTCCACAAATCACTGCACCATATGTCTCTTTGCATAATTTGCTTTCATCTCATGCTCTGAATCTCTCCAAAATGGTAAAAGAAAGCTATATCTGGGTAACAGCAGGAGATGAGGCAAATAGATTTAAAAAGACAAGAAGTTTTGCCTGATGTTCTTCACATCAGACCATTAAATGGCTCTTACAAATCTCGGGCGCATTAGCTTTCAGTACTATAAATTGAAATTTGTAATCTTTCCTGGTTTCCTACAGCCCTAACACTTTAATCCAGCTTGTTTTCTCTCCCAGATAGTTCAGTTCTCTCCTGATCCTATTGCTGCCTGATTAAAAGTAGATCAAAATAATCGAACAACAAAGGAATCAGGATGAACAGTGTCCTAGTGAGAAGCAATTCCAGAAAGTGAGATTAAATTTTAAAAGATTTCATATTTAACTGAAATTACAATCTCACAAGTCAGAGAAATAGAGAATGGATTTGCTTTCTTTTGGTGTAAATTGATGTTTCTCCACAATGGCTTGATCATTTTCCATTATTACGAAAACAAGGCAACTCTGAAAAGTATATATATATAATACAAAAACAACCAGCTCTTCACATTTATAAATAGCTCTACTGACAACGATATTTTTAGTTAACTTGGCTCAAATGTTTAAGAAAGCTGCTTTTGTAAAAACAACGGCAACACTGCTTTTTACCTTGATGGCAGCATTTCAGGCAAGAGGAAGGGTTTGCGAGGCATGGATGTTGCCGCGCAGGGAAGCAGTGGCCGTGCAGTGGCACCGGGCAGCACGGCGGGCACCGAGGTGGCACTGCAGGGCCTGGGGCAGGGCCTCCCGGCAGCAGGAGGCCGCAGGCAGGGCCCCAGGCCTCTGGTCACTGGGTTTGCCTCCCTAAGGCACGCGGTTCAGCCGCCAGCCTCACACCCCCTGCAGAGCTCGAAGGCTCCAGGCCTGATGTTGAAAGGTCTTTGGCACCTGCGTCCTGCAGCTCCCCACAGCAATGGTGCCACGAGCTGCCTGCTGGCCATGGCCCTGCACAGTGCGAGCAGGCTGCGGGGCGCTGGGGCACACAAACACAACAGCGCAGTGCCATAGCTGCTTCTCTCTGCTGCTGCTCCATGCTGATAGGGTTGCCTTGAGATGCATCGGAAGATCTGTCAGCATTGTTTGTTTTTCAAATAGTTGCAACCTTTTAGTGCACGATTACATCACGTCCCTCGGAAGCTGACAGCCGAGGACCACGTGTGGCTCCCAGTGCTCACTTTCTCCTCTACACGTAGAAAAATCAATTAGAGGTTCTCGTCGTGCAGTAAATGTCAGTTGTGCTAACATTACAGGATCAGAAACATCTGTAGCTATGGAAACCCTTAAGGCAAGGCTCATTTCAAGAATAAATTATGACAAGAAGCTTTTTATGGTTGTTTTATACTATAAATATAAATTAAACCAGCCTAAATTCTTAGATTCAAGTTTTGTCATTTGTTTTTTTACCTTCAGTACTTCCCAAGTAACTTTTATCAATATTGACAGAGAGGAGAAAGATACTTTATCAATGTTTACATCCAAAGACTCAGATCTGTTACTTGTATCACTTTAAAATTTTCTGCTAAGATGATCTTCACTGCATTTCAAGGGAGAGCATGTTTTCCAGATGAGTAGACCCAACCTTAGAGCTTATCAGCATGGTGCAATTTATGCTTTTTGCTACATTCTAATATTACACAAAACCATCTCAGGTATGTGAAACAAATTCAGTCAAAACTTTCTCCAAGTCACTAGGATTTTGTGAGAAATGAATATGAGGTCTTCCATGCTCAGCCACAGTTTTTAGCAAAAAAATGGAGCTTGTTCTTCCAGTGCTTGCAGCTCAGATTCTGGCTGCCCTCCACCAGGACACCTTGGTGTTGGGGGGCAAACCCCAGCCCGTGAGGGGCCTGGAGAGCCATGGGACATCCCAGAACACTGCAAGGTCCATGGGGCTCCCCAGTGACCGTAATGGGCTGTATGCCATAAAAAGGAAACAAATTATGCTTCATTCTCCTCTGTCAGTGCTTCCAGGTTACCAGCTTCCCTCTGTGTATGGTGACTGCTACAGGAGCCACAGAACCACTCCTATAAACCTGCTTCACTAGCACGTGTTATTGTGTTAATACACCTAAACTCACTTCAGAATGAATGCAGGAACAATGCAATGCTATTTTTAAAACAAACAAAAAAACCTCACACTTGCCATAAATTCTCACCATTTTTCTTGTCTAAGGGTGCTACGCAGATTAGCAGTAAGGCTCGGTGCTGTACAACAGCATCCCTGGCAGCACACCTGTGCTAATTTCTGCACTGATATGCAGCTACTGGATTACTGTGAAACAGAGGGCTAAAACCCGAGTGAAACACCAAGCTGCCAGGGGTGCCCAGTGGCTGTGGGACATGCAAGCTGCTCCTGCCGAGCCCCTGCCACAGCCCCCATGGCGTGAGCTCAAAGGCAACAGCAGCCAGCCTTGGCTTGTTGCTTGCCTGACAGTGTGAGGGCAGAAAAAAAGCAAATATCAGTCTGATGCAGGCTAGTTTTTGACTCTTTGCTCACCTGCAGAAAATCAAGTGACTTCTCGTGAAAGAGTCTTTCGCTCTGTTCTGCCACATTAGGCGAGACCACTGCCCATTTGCTACACCTCTGCAATCAGGACTAAGTGCTCCAGAAAAAGAAAAAGCTTGCCCCACTTGCTGGTAACTTCACCTGGTGTCAGTATCAAACATTTCAGAAACATTCTCTAGAAGCCAAATCAGTGTGGTCTTCCAGTAGTCTTGGCTCAAACTGTACAAATAATATAGCAAGGTTTTGACCTTACCTTCCAGGATTTTAAGAAGTGAAAGACTTGGGAATTGTTACACAAGTAGCAATCTTGTCATTAGCAGCCTGATAAAGTTTCTTAATGGCTAAAGAACAGCCATGCAAATAGCATCCATTGGTGTTTGTCATAAATACTGAACACAGTCACAGCAGGAGAGATGTTAAACACACACAGTAAGCGTGCTTCAGTATCAGCCACAACCCTCATGCTCTAAATAGATATTTCCCTGTACAAAAAGCAGTTACAATTTCACTCCAGATCTTGAGCCATACATATTGCTCAGGACAGCTGCAGACAGGAAGGCTTAGTGCTGCCGAGGGCAGCAGCGGGATGGCAGATGTTAAATGCACTGTAAGTGGTACTGACAGTACCTCTGGTTCCTGCAAAAGGTGTGATGCAGCTGCATCAACCCATGTGTTGTAGCTGAAATAAGTATCCTATCAGCAGGCTACAGATTTGCAGAGTAATGACACGGGAGCAGCTTAATGCATGAGCTACATAGATTTTATGTAGAATTTACTGAGATGCATGCTTTTAAAAAAAATAATGAGGCAATGGATGAAAAGAAATTTGTTTCTTAGAACAGTGCAGTTTCCAAAGAACTCGAAGCACTCCTTGTGTGACCAAATGACTGAGCCTGGAGTCCACAGCAGAACGCCTTCCATGCAGAAAGGGAACACTGCACGTTTAATACCATGTCTCGGGCATACCGGCTGCATTAATAAAATCCCTATAATTGGAACTTAGTTACATAAACAAGCAAAACAAAAGTGCTTCAATGCTTGCTTGAAGAAGTGTAAGAGCGCGGTAAGGATGACTAGATCAGGCCTTTTTAATGCAAATGACTACACAAGTACAGCTCAGCCCACTTCCCCATGCTGCTCAGATTTGACCTCTTTATCTGTCAGCAGGTGCTAAGTGCGTTCAGTACCGTGCTCGTGGCTTTCAAAATGTTGCACAGAAGAGAGCAGCGAGCTCTGAAACTGAAGCCAGCACTCGCCTGCTTACATATAAGTACACACGTGTAGTCCCCCCTGCTGCAGCCCCACACCATCATCCCAGACCACTCACCTGTCCACAGTCTGAAGGATCCCTTCCAACGGGGAAAGATGAGTAAATTTCCATTGTATTAATAATGAAAAGTAACATTCTCTGCCACACAGGTAAGAGCTGAATCAAAAGCAGTAGCATTACACCAGAATTTGGCTCTGAGCAAAGCAATCTGCATGGACCTCACTGGATTTTCCCCTCTGCTGTAACATGGCAGTCAGCGTACTCAACACAGAGGGTGCTGAAACCTTCGTAGTGCATGGCTGCATGTGGCTCTTACCTGGAACTGCTGCTCCTGGCCCCCACTTGGTGCCCCCTGCACCCCTTCCTTGCAAAAGCCTAGGGCTGATCAATAATAATTAAACTGCCAAATGATTGTTTGAGGGACAGCCAAGAGGTGAGGCAATTACAAATGCAGCACTTGCTCTGCCTGCAATTTTTCCCTGAGTTAACAGCCTGCACCAGTGACAACCTCGACACCTGGATGAAGTGATGGACTCAGCTGCTCACAGTGGCAGGTCTGTGGTGTGAGGAGAAATTATGGCTGCAAAAGGAAGCTTACCGGCACCTATGAATGGCACAAAGCCACTAGCTAGAGCGGATGATATAAAGCTATGCCCTCAGGATTGATGTTCTGGGATAAAACATGACATGTTGAAGATTTACCAAATAAAAATCACAGCGCTTTATGTGGATTGTGAACAGGTGGAAAACCATCCCTGTATACATTGCTAGACCGGAAGAAAAAGGAGTTTTTTCTCCCCCCCCTTCGTCCCCACCCTCCCATTAGCTCACTTCGTGCAGACGGTGCCCCACCGCTGTTACCCATCTACTGCATTTGGACAGAGACAGGTACCTGAGCATCCTGTGCTATTTTGAGTACAACATGCATGCAAGATAAAATACTGATTAAAAGATTGATTGTAAGGTCTCACGCAATTTTCAGTTTTACTATTACTGGACTGACACAGTCACCATCTCATCAAAGCTGCATTTTTCAGGAACATACAGGGCAAGTCATAGCATGTGCAGAACATGCCCTTGTCTGTCCAGCAACAAACCAGATGTTAACACCAACCAACGCAACACCACAGCCCTGGCTTAACAGTGCCAACAGATAAATGCCTGTAAGCTCCAAAACTTAGATTACTTGCCAGAAGCATTTTGACTGGCAGAGGAATGAAGTTCCACTAGAACTGCAAACTTTAAAAATAAAAAGCCAAGATAGTAACTGGGAGATTTTTCAGGAAAGAATCCATCCAGGAGATACTACTGTGAAAATTAAAAGGCTGTAGTAAAGCTAGCTGAAAATAATGCAAGTTTCCAGTAATTCTGCAAAGAAACATGGAATTTTCTCCAGTGCCACAGTGAAATCGGAGTCTGTCCTGCTGTGGGATTATGCTCTGCCTGCTTGTGTTATGGCCAGAAGGACGTTAGAAATTCAGGTGAGAAAGAGGGAGAATAGGAACATTTCCCTGCCTTTGCAGGCAGAGCTGCGCACGCTGCCTGGGCACTGTGGGGGCTTTGCCAACACTGCCCCTGCCCTGCCTGCAGGCAGCACTTCCCTAGCCTTGTGTGACCATGATTCAGCAGCAAGTGGCTCTGTGACAGATGCAGAGATCTCTTCCCTAAGTGGCCGCAGCCAGCCCACAAGCTGACACCGTGCATGCACACTGCCTCTCAACCCCTCAGCTGCTGTCCTCAGGTAACCTGCAGTACCTGCCTGCCTTTCTGCAGTCACTTCTCACAGTTCCTCAGCCATTTTTAGTTTTTGGCTACCTAGATACCATGTTATCAGCAGCTATTGATACCGTGCTCCTTACTCTTTTACAGATTTTGCGTTTATTTACAGTTTTGTTTTTACTACACTAACTCTTCCTGCTGGCAGCTTAATTCATCTACACGCATCAGTTGCAAGACCTTTAAGAGCTGTACAAAACTGAGTGCACGCTATCAGGCAGACCCCACCACCTCTCACGGACTCTTTCAGAGACCACTGTCAGACCTACAAGAAATAGCTTCACCCTACAAAACCAAGGTTGTGCCTTTCCCATTACATCACCCAACCATGTATCTGCCAAGGCTACTCTTTGTCGTCATCCACCACACGAAGCACAGACCCACATGCTGCTGGTCCCCATCCAACACCTTTGATTGTGGCAGAACTCCCAAACCAGGTGTAGGATGCAGCATGCTTGAGAACTGCTGCTTCTGCAGCACCAAAGAGAGACTCAGCTGCACAGCACTGGCCTGGTGGTTTCGGGCTGGTACTCATGGACTACACCCACTTTCAGAGAAATGTTCAAACCACAGACACTTTCATTACTGGTGGGCTTCTCACTGCACAACAGGGGAACGGCTTTTAAAAGTT